GGGGCAGGGACCGGGGCTCTGTGTGCGTGTGGGGCTGGGTGGGGGTCGCCAGGACCCTCGAGGAGGGGAGGCGGCTGTGTGGGCAGTGCAGGTCCATGTTGTTCCCTCGTGCACCACCGCAGCCTGGGCACCCTGCTGTCCTCCTGCCGTGGGCTCTGGGTCTCCTATTCGTTTTTCCTGATGTGCAGCTCCCTTCGTCCCGCTCCATTGCCAGCTTGGTGGGTAAGGGCAGGGCACTTCTCCCCGTGCCAGTGTGAGTCGCCTCGCAAAGCTGGCTGTGTTTGCGCACAAGGTGGCGGGGTGACCAGTGGCCTTCCCCCCAGTACCGAGTGTGCCAGAGCTCAGCATGGCAGGAAGGTAAGGACAAGCCATGAAGCTGGGCATAGGTGGGGAGAGGGGCTCAGGGCAGCTCTGCCCTCTCCCGCAGGCAGCGCAGGGGTCCTCATGAGGCTGGCTGGGCCATGTCTCTGGATTCGAGGAATTTTTGGGTCATCTCTATTTCTCAGTGGAGCTGATTTCCCCAAGGGCTAGAAAGAGCCTCCTTCCAGGGCAGCTCAACACAGGGGGCCCTGACCCGCGTCCAGCTGTGCATTCCCACCCTTGTTTATTCGGAGCAAAGTGCCCAGTCCTGCCCTCGGCCCTGAGCACGGCCCAGCGCTGCTGCCCCGGCCCCGGGGGCAGCCCCATCCCTCTGGGCACAGCACTGCATGTGCGAAGCCAGCCTGAGCTGCAGGGCTGTGAGCACACAGGCTCCAGACCTGCTCCTGCACCGGAGCTGGCATCCGCGGCGCCGGCACATGCGTGGCGGAGGCGGTGCAGAAACGCAGCTGTGCCTGGGGCCGAACAGAGCCGTGTTTGGACTGCACGGAGCTGCAGGCTGGGGAGTGAATCCAGCTGCAGCCTGGAGGGTGGGAGCAGCCAAGTGGTGGATATGTGTGTACAGGGATGTAGGGGAGTCCAGGAGAACATCTGTGCAGAGAACATAAGACAAAGGGGCTCTGCTTATTGTGGCCCCCATTCCCTTTGCTTTTCTGGCTTGGGCGGCTGCGCTTTCATGGGGGTTTTGTAGCTGAAGGTTCTGGGCTACCTCAATTCAGAGTCTGTGCTGATGCAAGGATCTAAAGGTCAAGGGCTGCTCCCAGAATAACCAGCTCTGTCCTTTTCAAGGAGTTTCCAGTTTAGGAAACAGGCTGAACAGGTCTCCTTACCTAAACCCAGTGCTGCCAGCCCCTCTGCAACCCTTGGCTGCACTCTCCCTTTTAAGATACCACCCCAGCCTGTTGTGAGTCCCAGGTCTGTGACTCCCTTCCCAGGCACGGTGGCTGCAGTGAGCCAGAGCTCCAGCTGTGGGTACAGGCAGCGGAAGGAAGGGTTAAGAAGCCCCTCCACTGCGGAGCAACTGGCATTAATCTTCATAGGCTTTCAGTCAGGTGGGAGAGGAGGAGGGAGAGATGGTGGCTGTGTTGTGCAGGATGGATCACCCCTGTGATGCTGCATACACCCAGGTACTTCCTCTGGAGATCACCCAGGGCACCAGGAGCATCCATTCTGCTCCATGGTTGTATGTGTCGAGGCTCTTAGTCCTACTGTGCTGGAGATGGGGCATTTTCTCCCAGACCCCTGGCACGAACAGCTCTGTGGAGCAGTCCTGGGAAGTTTGGGGAGCTGAGCCTCAGAAACTGCCTTGGCCCAAGCACCCTGGCTTCTCTGGGAGGAAGGGCAGCCTCCACGATAACTGGTGCCAGCCTGGTGTTCCTCTGGTTTGTGCAAGAGCCAGGGGGTTGGGGGTGGGCAGGCACCATTCGATCGAATTGTCATCATCTGAGCAGCATCGAGTGTCGGGAGGGAGGGGATCTGAGACACCCCTGTGGCTGCTGGCAGCATCTCGGGGAAGGGACGTTCGTCCTGCTCTGCCCCATCCTGCTTCCCAGCCCGCTGGCTCCTGCAGTGGCAGGGTTGAGGTGAAGTAAGCAGCTCCGATGGGGATTTTCCACTCCGCCGTGCCTTGTTATCTCCCAAAGGGGTGGATCTGCTCTCCAGCCACGCTGGGGATGCTGCCTTGCTCAGCTCCTGGCTTCGCACAGCCCTGCATGCCAGCAGCTGGGCCAGGGCATGGCTGCGGCTCCTCGTCCTCCCCCATTGCCCACCCCTCTGCCCTTGGGGAGTGGGGCAAACCGGCTGTAGCACAGGTTGCACAGATAGCTGGCTGGGTGCTGAACACTGACTGGGTGCAGCCAGCAGCACTGGGAGGTCTCTTCCAGAGAGGAAACGCAGCTCGTAAGGCTTTGCAGGCTGCTCACACGCCTTCCTCTCCCCCTCTCTGGCTCAGAGCGTTTCTGCTTCCTCTCCCGAGAGCCTTCAGGACGAGGAGCGGACGGGAGGCACGGGGCTGAAGCGGAAGCGGGAGGAGAAGGACCTGCCTGGGCATTATGTGAGTGCACCAAAGCGCGTGGCCGCGGGAGCCGGGCCTGGGTGTTGGAGGTCGCGAAAAGAAAGGAACAAAATGTAGAGCCCTGGGGAAGCCCCTCAGCCAGAGGGTTGAGTCGCTGCCAGCAGGGCATGGCGTCGGTCCATGAGAAGAGATGTGCAGGAAAAAATGGGGTCTCTGCTGGCTGAGGTCCTGTGGGGCAGAGCCCAGAGCTTGGTCGAGCCTCTCCCACTCCTGACTGAGCCTTTCTCCCCCCTTGCAGGATAGCGACGGGGACAAGAGCGACTACAACCTTGTGGTGGATGAGGTGAGCGCACACCCTTACGGGCGTGCTAAAGCCTTGCAGGGTATCCAGCTCAAGCTGGAGTCATCAGGTTTAGGACTCTGGTTCCCAGGCTTTGGGGTTCCTTAGGCTCTGGGACACTGCTGCTGGGCAGGAGTGGCCAGCGAGGACACGTGCCAGCCCTGCTTGGATGTGTTCATGCCAGCCAAGGCTGATTCCGATTCGCAGCGCTCCAGGTTGAAGGTTGTGCCAGCTGTAGACTTGGCTCCGCTTCACAATCCCGTTTCAGCCCTTCTCCTGTAGCATCCCATATGGGGAGGCAGATAAGCTGGGATGAGAGCCCCAGGGAGCTGGGCTTCTGCTGGCAGCTCGTGCACATGGAGGTGGCAGTGGCAGGCAGGCGTGATGTGCTGGCGACACACCCCCAACCCAGCCCGGCCCCCGTCTGGGGGTCTCATACGGCCTTGGAGCAGCCTTGACTTTAACACACTGAGCCCGTGTCCATGGCTCGGTGCAGAGGGTACACGGAATTTCTATCTCTTGCAAGATGCTTCTGGTACAACTTCCCTGACCACTGAGGCAGATACAACAGTACTTTATCTCAGCCACAGCTGTTCTTGGCAGAGATGATGTTTTCGGGGACATCCCTTTTCCTCCTCTGGAAGACTGGGGGGAGGAACAACACACGTGATTTTTTTTATGATTTTTTTTTTCCGCCTGCCACTTCCCAAGAAAATACAAGCCCTGAAAGGAACATCAGCAGGGATTTCTGCAGAAAATGACACTTATAAAAACTGCTCATTGGTGTAATTATGGTGATAACCATTCAATTAGGGCTGTGATTTTTATAGGGGTGCAAGAGCTGATGGGTGGCCTTGCCTCTGAAATGCTGTTAAGGGGCTGCCTAGAGGCCCTTTCTCAGCTCCTTGGATGTGCTGGTCGCCATCCCTCCTTGTCATGGCTTCTGTGGCCACCAGTGACCTCCAAATCTGCTGTCACCTCTAGTTTTGTTCAAAGAGAAAAATCATGGAGGTTTCTCATCCAGGGGACTACGGAGCAGAGCTGAGGCCTCTAAGCAAATGCTCCTTATTAATGCTGCTCAGGCAGATGCGGGACAGCAGGGCTGGATGAGCCGCTCGCCTGGCAGGCGGCGGGCAGTGAATCGGGGTTTGATGGTGCCTGCTGGGCACTGTGCCCAGGGGCGCGTCACTGGGGCCCCTGCTGTGCCTGCCCTCCTGTGCAGAGGGACTGGGGTTCCTGCTCCCCAGAGACCTCTTCTTCCCCCAGGACCCCTCCTCGGAACCCAGCAGCCCTGGTCATGCACCCAGCAGCCGGCTCCTGCCCGCACACCGGGAGATGCCCGAGAGCCCTGCCTCCATCGCCTCAAGCCGGAGCACGACACCCCTCAAGCCGAAGGACCAGAGCCTGCATGGGCGGCCTGGGCTGTGGGTGGGCAGCGGGGCCAGAGACGCAGCCCCCAGTTTCTCTGTGGCCTGTCTGCCGCAGCCCAAAGGCAAGCGAGGAGATGCTGGTGCTGTGTTTGGTGCCCACCACCAGACCCCCAGCACTGGGAGCAAAGGTCCATGCCTGCACAGGAAGGCTAATCATCTGCTGAGCAGAGGCCTGGATCTGCAGGTATTTTCCATCCAGCTGCCTGCAGGATTACCCAGAGCTGCTCTCAGCAATCGATTTTTCTTTTTCCCACCCCCCCCACCCCCCACTTCTTCCTTGCCAAGCACCAGCCCAACGCTCAGATTGAAACATCAGTGTGCAGGAAGGGGGAGGGACGTTTCTGCCATTCCTGGGCCCTCCCAGGCACCGCAGGGAC